CAACCACAAACTTACCCTAAGTATTCTCGTAAGACATGATTCATTAGTCTCATGAATGTACTAGGTGCATTAGTTAATCCAAAGGCATAACCAACCATTCATAAAGACCATACTTGGTTTTAAAAGTTGTTTTCCACTCATCCCCAATATGCATGCGAATTTGATGATAACCCGATTTTAAATCAATCTTAGTAAAAAGACTACATCCATGCAATTCATCAAGCATATCATCTAATCTGGGAATTGGATGCCTATACTTTATAGTTATCTTGTTTATAGCCCTACAATCAACACACATACGCCAAGATCCATCTTTCTTAGGTACAAGAATAACTGGAACAGAACAAGGACTCAAACTTTCACGTACATACCCTTTAGCAAGGAGTTCACTTACTTGCCTTTGTATCTCTTCAGCCTCCTTTGGATTAGTCCTATAAGCTGGTCGGTTTGGAATGGGCGCGCCAGGAATGAAGTCAATCTTGTGTTCAATCCCTCTAAGTGGTGGCAAACTACTAGGCATTTCCTCGGAAAATAAATGTTCAAACTCTTGCAAAAGCACAACAAAATCACTAGGCAAAGAAGGGTTAAGCATGTTAGTAAAGTAACAAGACCCCTTGCACATAAGTACAAGAATAGTCTGGTTAGAGAGCAAAACATTCCTAGCCTCACTTGATCTAACATACAAGCTTACTGATTTGGCTTTTCTCTCTTTTTTTTCTCTAGGCTGAGTGTTACTCTCTTGCTTTTCACTCAAGCTCTTTTTTTCATTTGATTCTTTTTCAATCTCTGCTTTTGCATCAGCCTCTTGCCTTTTCTTTTCAAGTTTGCAATGATCAATAAATACATCTTTTGGAGACAATGGGATAAGAGTAGTTTTTCTACCGTTGTGAGTAAAGGAGTATCGATTTGCATACCCATCATACATTACCCGACGATCAAATTGCCATGGCCTCCCCAGTAGTAAATCTCCAACATGCATGGATACAACATCACATAAAACATCATCAACATATTTTCCAATTGTAAAAGAAACAAGAGTTTGTTGAGTTACCCGTACTTCCCCACAATCATTCAACCATTGCAGCTTGTAGGGTCTTGGATGTGGTTGTGTCTTTAAATTAAGTCTTTTGACCAGAATGGAACTCACAACATTGGTGCAACTACCGCTATCAATGACAACACTGCAAGGTACAGATTGAACAAGACACCGAGTTTGAAACAAGTTCTCCCTTTGGTCTAGGCCGTCCTCCTTAATGTGGGTGTTTAGAGCTCGTCGAGTAACCAAAGATATATGTGTAGGGTCCTCTTCACTAAACTCCTCACTCTCATCTGTTTCCTCATTTATGTCGTCATGTGCCTCGTCATCCGTAACAATTTCTCCCTCCTTGATGGTCATAATTCTTGCATTTGGGCAATCTCTACTATAGTGTCCTACCCCTTGACATCTCCAACACTTTAAATCCCTATTTCGAACATTAGGCTTTTCTACTTTTTCTTGGGTTGATTTCTACTTTTTCTTAGGTTGCATGTAGAATCATTCAAGCTCGACATGATCAATCTTGCTTGTGGAGTGATTCGAATCTCAAACAAGTGTTTGAGATATTTGATCAACAAGAATCATTGAAGCTAGACATGATCGATCTTGCTTCTGGAGTGATTCGAATCTCAAACAAAATGTTCTTGTCTTGAGATATTCGATCAACAAGGTAATCCGAATCTTATTTTCCTTGTATTGATTCCTTATCTTATCATTTGGTATCAGAGCTTCAGGCTCAAGATCGGATATATGTTTCCTTTGCGTTTCTTCTCAATTTAATTTTTATTTATTTTCATCTTTTTAGTTTTTAATCGACCCA